TTTTGCTTTCTCTGAGGAGTTACATAACTTTTTCATTTCTAATGAGGTTTCCTAAATATAAATTGTGATGTAATATTCTGCACCTCCTTTGGCTGCAAACCAATTAATTTGAAGTGGTTCAAGGCCAAAGAGAAGTTCAGGATCACATTCTAGCATTCCTGGTGAAAGGTTTGTTTATGCACTTTTTTAAAAAAATAAATGGTTTAGTGGTTAAGTCCAGCTTCTGTTGGAATTGATCTTATCCTTTAAATTCATGTAATACTCTAAATTTATAGAGGATTGTTTTGGACTACATGACCTTGTGTTACTTAGATGCTGTTTGAAATCCATTTGTAGAATAGCCAAAATGTTATTTTGCTTCTCTAAATCAGGTAACTTTAGCCATTTAAATGACTGTTTAAATCATAAGCAGGATTAACCTGAGAAGAGATCAGTAAAAGATCAACCTCACTTTACCTCTAAAGCTCTGCTTCCTTGTGTTTAAGTATATCCCACCACTGCAGTCTCCCCAGATCCCTCTGCCAGACAGAGCTTTGCCTCCTCGTTGCAGGACTGTCACTTCTCTGCCGCAGCTTAGCCAAGTGCTGGGTCTGATATTTGGGAGTAACAGGAGCCCTGGGGAACAATGCATCTGCCTGTACTGATTTCCCCCTCCCCTGCTCCCCAGACCCAGAGCTGTCATCTCCCTGCTGTATTTTGGCACCTTCTCCTCACCAAGAGATGAACCTGCAGGCCTACAGATGGTGTGAGGAGGTACAGGACATAATCTGCCTTGCAGCACAATTTATCCCTTCTGCTGCACCTGCAAGCTCAGAGCATTAATTCTCAGAACAATCCTTCTGGCTTTTACTGCCCTGTATTTTATGTGGGTGTATCACTGATGGTTTTCCCACTATTTGAGAAATACTGCTCTTGAGAATCTGAGTGTCTAGAACTTGTTCTGTCTCAGCATTATTCCAATGTGTGGATTACATTCTTTCTGAAAAATCTTATTTAGATAGATGTGTATGAATTCAGTGTGATTAACCTAAGGATGCCAGACTTGAAAAATGGTTTAATGTTTTAAAGAATTTCACAGCTTTCTAGTGACCATTTCTCAATTTTCCCCAAAGAAGAATTCATACTCATCCTTTTCAGTAATTTTGGAAATAACAGATATGCATTCTTCAGTATCCATACTTTTCATTTGACTGTTCTACAAATCTGACAGTAAGTGAAAACCACTATTTTTCATATTCCTATTTTCTGTCACAAAGGCATCACTTTTGTTCATGCACAGGTTCACTATTCATTTATCCATTACCCATTTCAGTATGAACGCCACAATTCTAGAGCTGTTCACACATAATTCTCTCACATATAGAAATCCAAGCATAAAATCCTAAAGAAAAAGTTAAGTTTTAGTTTCCCTGCTCTCCCAGTGTGGATTTGCTGGGCAGAGGGAGAGATAAAAGGGGCTGTATAAACTGAGCACTGCCTGCTGAGGTGAAGTCCTGGCAGCTGGCTCTACCTGGCTGGCTTCACATGTACTTCCTGCACCTCCTTTGGTACATCACTTAATCCAGGTTTCCCTATTGCTGCCCAAGAGTTCAGTATAATTCCTGAAGTTCATTCAATATTTCTGAAGTTTATTCAATTTCTGAAGTTTATTGTCTTCCTAAAACAGATTAGTGGGAATGCTCTTCTTCTTTGGGATTTGTAAGTAGCCTCAGATACCAAAGGGACTGGATGCTTTAGGGGAAAAAAATACTGCTGGGATACCTGACAAACAGCAATAGGTAGTGCTGCACTCCTTCAGCAGAGTTTGTTCCCTTTCATGAATGCTTATGTTGCACAAGCAATTGCAGCATTTCACTGCATCAGCACTGTTCCTAATCCTGATTTGGAAACATCAACTGTTAACTTGACAAAGCGTGACACATGGCACGTTGAAGTGTTTTCAGCTGCACTCACACAACAAATTGTAATGGCTCCAGAAGAGCCATTTCAATTGATTGTGTCAGTAAACTACAACCCACAAAGAAAAAGACACGTGGCCAACCTGAATAAAGCATCATCAAACCACAAATAATAGATTAACTGTCACAATTTCAGCCTCATTTTTAGAAAAAAACTATTCTGCAGGGAAAAAAATCCTGTAATTTCTAGATGTTTTGCCCATGATGAATCAGAAGTCCAGCCCTATGGAGCATAGCGGTTTACAACATTTCCTTAATTCCCACATATGTAGAGACTGTGTGACTTTATTCTTCATGTTTCTGCTTGAAAATGAGGGCTTGGCAAGTGGTGAACATGTAGGCTGTCCCACGCAATTGCTCTTTCTCCAGCTTTTGTGAGACATGGGCCTACTCTTATTTGAAAAAAACTTCTGTATCTTTTCCTAGACCAAGTGTCAGCAAACACAAGCTTCACATTACTTCCTTTTTTTTTTTTTTTTTTTTTTTTTTTTTTTCCCCCCTTTTTTTTTTCTTTTTTTTTTTTTTTTTTTTTTTTTTTTTTTTTTTTTTTTTTTTTTTTTTTTTCTTTTCCCTCCAATAGTTACTTCTTTGGGAAGTACTACACCTGCTTGATGGTGAAGTGCAAATTTTGTGCTTTCATAGTCAGGCTGATGGTATGCATGGTGAATTCTAACCTCACTGAGACCATTAAGGTTTCAGAGTAAGTAAATCAGGGTACAGTCTGACCTAACAAGAGTAGCCACTAGGTGATCAATTCTGTGCGTGGGCTGCTTTTCCTGCTGCCCACACACCCACAAGGAGCTGCCATGTTTCCTCAGAGATAACTAACATGAGATAAAGACTGCTGGCCATGACACTTCAGTGGCTCAGCAAGGATGTGAGTTATTTGTTAAGCACTTGGAACCCGAGTTACTTTGTAGATGATAGAGGACAGTTTCCTACCCAGATTTAAAACCCCCTGAATAACCATAGCACAATGACCTGCAGCAGGAGCCCTGGAGAAAAGAGGTGTGCTAGTTTCGATGAGTCAATTTGTTTTCAAATAATGTCTATGCTAATATACACCTTTTTGCCTTGTTAAGGCAGCAACTTTTAACTAGGAAGCTTTGTAACTAAGTTACTTCATTTTTTCTTCTAAAAACCATCAGTAGCAAGCTAGAGTTGGCTATTTGATATCAGAAATTAAAGCCTTTTAAGGCTTTAATTAAAGGCTTATTTTATATAGCTGGCAAATAAAGACAGTTATTAGTCACAGATATTTGTGTGTGCATGTAAACGCACACAAAAACACAGAGATTATTTTTTCTTTATGTCACAGTACATGGGGTGACATGCACTTAAAATGAAAATGATGTAAGCCACTGAGTGTAAGTACTGAGTGACAAGTGTAGTGTCCAGCTGCTTAACAAAAATATTTTTTCTGAAAGACTAGAGAACCAGGTAAGTCTAGTTAGTCTTAGATACCATTAAAGAAATGCATAGTTGCAAAGAGAATAACTCCCTCTGTAAACAAGCTATCCAAATTTCTCCTTTTCTCTACAACACACACTAAAACAGAATAACCTATGCACATGCTCACATGACTAAAACAATACCTCACCAGCCAACTGGGGAATTTAAATCATTCATCTTAATCCAATACTGACACTTCCTCAGGCACACACTTAATACACAATTGCCCTAAGCTTTTGACAATCTTCAGCCAATGGAGCTCAAATATAAAATCACAAAAGCTAGAGATGAAAGAATCTAGTCAGTCAATTTGTTAAACCATTTGCTGTATTATTTGGGCTCCCTATAGTATACTGTCAAATACACTTCTGATCATCACTTGGAGTTTTGATGTCATTTGGATTCTGAATGACTTTGGCTTCAAATACAAATGAATGGATTACACTCATCCTTCTGTGGGTTATTAATCTGTTCTGTTCAAGAACCCTTGTAAGACAAGGGCTTTGCCAAAATTAAATAATTCAAGTGTTTCTTGTTTTCTGAGAAACTCCTTCATTTTCACTCATAGGTGCAATTTTCTATATAAAATGAAGCTCTTTTTCTTTCCACTTAACACATGCAAGTATGATTTATGAAATGTTACTCAGGTAAGACAAGCTTATTTTACACTTTATTTACTCAGGACAGAACACTGATGAGAGAAATAATGAGATAGACAGATTGATCCATAGCTGGAGACACGACCTGCTCTGTGTCACAGCCAGAAAGGGCCTTTAGCATTACAGACCATTGATCTCAGGAAAACGGGATGCGTGTTGGATTGAGCAACTGGAACAGACCACGCACAGAGGCTGCTCATGCTGGCACCTGTGAGAAGAGGTTGGTTGGTTTCTGAAGTGTGAAACTGGCTCTAGGCTGAGCACCTGTCTGCCTCTCCTGTCCCAGAGCTGCCCACCTCCCAGGCACTTGTTGCATCGCCCACAGCGCTTTCCTGCACTGCCTGGGGAGCAATGCACCTGCAAGACTACAGGAGGAGCGTGCTGGCTGCCTGGGGTTATAGGAGGCAGCGCAGTGCATACGAATCACTCTGGGTGTCTTGTGCCCCGCGCCCGGGCTGTGTGCGGGCTGCAGGCTCCGCAATACGCCCCGGCCGGGAAGTGCCGCGGGGCGGGCCAGGGCTGAGCAGAGCGGCCGGGCCGGGCTCCGCCGCGCTGGCCGCACGCCTTCCCTTCCCTTCCCTTCCCTTCCCTTCCCTTCCCTTCCCTTCCCTTCCCTTCCCTTCCCTTCCCTTCCCTTCCCTTCCCTTCCCGCAGGAGCGGAGCCGAGCTCGCCCCGGCTCAGGCGGCTGCCGGCGGGGAAGGCGAGGCCGGGGCCCCTCGCCGCCGCTCGTGTAGCGCAGCGCCCCCGCCCCGGGCGGGGCTCGCCGAGCGGGGCTCGGCGGCGCTGGCGCAGCGCGCGGCGCGGCGCGGCGCGGCGCGGCACGGCACGGCGCGGCGCGGCCCCGCCCGCGGAGGGGCGCGGGGGGCGGTGGCCGGGCGGGACGCGCCGCCCCCTCCACCTGCTGCCGCTGCGCCATCGCCGGCTGGGGGAGCCGCCGCCCGCTCGTCCCCGCGGGGCCCCTTTGTGCTGCTGCTGCTGCTCCGGAGCTGCCTCAGCCAGGCGGCGGCTGCGTCACGGCCCCGGCGCTGCGGCCGCCCCGAGCCACCCGCGGAGGGAGAGCCGCCGCCTCGCCCCCTGCTCCGCCATCGCGCCCGAGGCAGGGCCGGCAGCCGCGGCGGTGAGTGCCGAGCGCGGCCGTGCCCCGCCGGGAGCCCGGGGCGGGGACGGGGCTCCCGAGCCGCCCGCAGCCCCGGGCGGTGCCGCACCGCGCTGCGCCGCGGGCATCGCTCGCTCCGGGCTGACGTGCCGGGGATTTGGGGAGCTGCTTTGTGCGCGCGGTGGGTTGGGGTTTTGTTAATTTTGATAGTAGAAGCTCTGGTCATCGTTCGTACTTCCCAGAACGCCAGTAGCTAACCGAGTCAGAGCGACCACCGCGTATTTTTTATTATTTTTCCACAAGGTATTTCGAGTCCTCCGAGGGCTGGGAAAAGGTCTGGTTTCTGATATTTTGCATTTCTTTGCGTGTGTGCCTGTGTGTGCCAGCAGAAAAATCCTTGTATCCTGGAAGAATGGTGAAACTGGGGAATAATTTCAGCGAGAAGAGCACAAAGCAGCCCCTTTTGGAGGATGGATTTGACACCATCCCCCTGATTACACCCCTGGATGTCAATCAGCTCCAGTTCCCACCTCCTGATAAGGTACAGTAGGCTTCGGTTTCCACCCTGGAGAATCACACCCAAATCTCTGGCAAACAACAAAAGAATAGGTTATGGGGTAGAGAGCAGCTTAGGAACGACAAGAAGTATGGGGTATTTCAAGGCATCTAATTCCCTCTAGGGAAAAACCCAAACAGCTAAGCTCATGCAGATCCATTAAGGGTGATTTGCATTAAAAATAAGCGCGAAATGTTAGCAATAAGCACGTAGAGATTTCAGTGCTGCTATACGAATCATATACTATAAAACTGCAAGCTTCTCTATGCTGTATTGTCATAACCCTTCCTATTCTGTATCTTTTTTTTTTCTTCCACCTGGAAGGTCCTGTGTATTGTGTTTGAATACTATTAATTTTCTCTGTCCAGAAAATGCCCCCCTGATGGGGGAATAGAGCCCTGCCTTATCTGGTAAAATCTGCCTATCTTACCTCTGTAAAGTGAGCATGGGCATACTAGCAACAGAGAGCACTTCCATTTTCCTTTTGTGCTTCAGTTAGAAACTAATGCTAACCCCAGACAAGCTGAAATAATGGGATGAGAACAGGTCATTGAGTTTTCTCCTTGGCAATTTATTTTGTTCAAAACCTTCCAAATAGGTGATTCAGATATCCGCTGTAGCTGGAAGGGGGCAGTCCAGTGAGCTGCTTACAGGTTGGAAAGGAAATGTGCTTCCTGAATTTCTCATTAAATGCCTTGATTATTAGGGATTTGATTTTAAGGATTTAGAAAGGTGATGTGATAGCCTGTAAATATGTTTATTGTTCTCACAATAAAGGATTCAGTAAGTGCTACTACATGTGAGGAACATAGGAGTAGGATTTTTTCAGGGTTTTCAGTATCCTATTTTAATCGGATTCTTACTTGTAATTTCCCACATGCATCTGCTAATAAAAAGCTTTGTGGTCTTCATACAGTTTTTATTTTTGGCCTTGTGTCTTCCACAAGCTGAAATCTACTTCTATTTAAACTGATAGCTGCACATTCCTCAAACCTCAAAAAAATTCACATAACTTTGGGTAAAGAGTTCTAGCTTGTAAAATTTTCCTCAGTAGAGTGTTGCTTGTAGTCAATACAAATAAATGTGTGACCTCCATTTTAATTGCTATCAACACCATTCTGTGTTGTGTGTGGTGACCAGTTGGCAGGCATAAATGCAATAAGCCATAACAGCTGTTCAGGAGCCTGAGGGTCCATTTTATGCCCTCAGTTACATGGGTGTAAATCTTGTAACTGAGGACAAAATCTCACCCTAAGGCTTTGGAACAAGCTAAGTCTTACCGTGTCTGATACATCTGCCAGCTGGTGACTGGATAGAACCGATTACCAAGGACCAATGGCCAAAGGAATGTGTTCTGTTCCCACATTGCTAAGCAGAAGTCTGAACGAGGGATCTGCATGGTAATAGCTTTAACCTGAGCAGAGCTCTGTGGTGAACCCAGGGCATTCTGTTCCCTCCTACTAGAGTGGGGCAGAGCTCCTCCCACCTGGATGGCATTTGCCTTGAATGAAAGCAAATGTCCAGCTAAGCTAGAAACTTAAATAAAGGAATATTTGATTGGTTCTTCTTCTCTCCACTGCCAAATGTATATTAGCTTTCTTCTCCTTTTGCAAACATAGAGGGGGAAAATTAAGTTTATTGGTCCTGCTGGTGTCCTTCTATAACTGGTTAGTCATGTCAGTGTCTCTTTACTGGTTGTTAGAGACTCAAAGGCAGGAGCAGAGCAACTGACATGAAAAAAAGAAACACTTAGAAAAGATTGACACACAGATCAAATTCTGAAGTATGCAGACACTCATGTATAATGAATAGGAGTACATACTTCATGTATCTTTGCTTATTATCCACTTGCAAGGCTCCAGCATGGCAGTGAAGCATAGCTTCTTGAACAGTAGTGACTACAGTGCTAAGGATTTGATGATTTTGACAGTTTCTAAATTAAAAAGATGAAGTGATTTAAATTCATATTTAGATATGTTAAACAAAAGAAGACATTACATAACCAAGCAGTTAGAACTGTACATTCAGTGTCAGCTGAATGTGATTTGAGTTGCCTGAGATTATGTAACATAAAGGGGGGAGGAAGGGAACTAAGATGTTAAAAAGCATTCCAGAAATCATCAGGTGGTTAACTTCCATGATGCTGTTGGGCAGCTATAAAGTTAAATAGTATATTACTATCTTACTAATTGTAGCTGAAAATAGGTAAGTAGGTTTTAAACCTATGTCCTGTGAAAGTAATAAAAGTTTAAATAATAATAAACTAATGGTACTAATAAACTTTATGATACTGAGTCTAGGTACACATTCTAGGTGCCACTCAGGGAAGTGAGAATAAGGGAACCCAAATCTTGTCATTTCAGTGTCTGGCTACCTGAAGTGTCACCATCTTAATTCCAGAAAGATGGAGGGAGACTGTTTACAAGGGGATGTAGTGACAGGACAAGGGGGAATGGCTTTAAACAGAGAGTAGGTTTAATGTGAGGGTGCTGAGGCCCTGGCACAGGGCCCAGAGAAGCTGAGGTTGCCCCATCCCTGGAGGTGTTCAAGACCAGGTTGGATAGAGCTCTGAGCAACCTGGTCTAGTGGAAGGGGTCCCTATCTTGGGGCATGGGGTTGGAACAAGATAATCTTCAAGGTCCCTTCCAACCCAGGCCTTTCTGTGATTAATGTATTTGCTATTAATAACAAATATGGGCTGTGCTAAAGATAGAATTTGATTTTCAGAAATCTAAAAGAATAGGTATTTATTCCTTGGAAAAACAGAGGAAATTGAACAAATTGTAATAGCACCATCACTACAATAAACTGTACCCTAGCTTGAGAATAATACTTGGAAAAAGTTCCTGAAAAATGCAGAAGGCAAAAATGAGGCAAATAGGTTAGGTATGTGAAAATTTTGTATGATTAGAATGCCTAGGGGAACACTAGAGATATGACTGACGTAATGAGTATTTTGGGAATACGGGTAAGGTGCTAAATTGTGTAGCTTGGGGCAGTAGTTCATAGCAAGGAATAAACTGAAGAGTTTGTTTGAAGAAATCTCATTAACACAAAGGTTTGTGTGCATCTTGCTGCTTGCAGATGATAATTCAGACATTAGATGTTAAAAATAGAGCACCAAAGGCCACAGCCTGTCACATGGTGAATAGCAACTAGACCCCATGGGTTATTTCACTTTTTTTTAAACTCAAAATCCTGCCATCAAGGAACATGGCATTGTCATCTGCAAGATTTTTATGGGTACTCTTCAGTAATCTTCTGTTAGTGTTCAGTTTGAAATCCCATTAATAGAATTTCCTGAAGCAAATGGAGGTGGCTATTTTCAAACTATACAAAGTAGGAAGGTCCATGATTTGCATTTGGCCTATCTTTGCCTAGTAAGAGCACAGTATCACCACAGATGAAAAAATGGAACCTTTATGAAAGTGTTGCATAACAAGTCTTGCTGTAGGTCCATCAGAACCACTTTAAGAGGCAAGTTAGTTGATGATTCATATACTGGAAAAAATAATTAATAATTTAGCACTTTCAAAGAAGAATTACACAAAATGGGGAGGGGAAAGATATGGTGGTAGATGTGCTTGTAAGCAGATAAAAGAAGAGTTAAAGAATAATTAAGGTTTTTGTGGCCAACTTTAGTTGACAGTTTTGTGATTCATTCTTTTTCTTAAAGGTTGTGGTTAAAACAAAAACAGAATATGAACCTGATCGCAAGAAGGGAAAGTTCCGTACTCCTAAAATAGCTGAATTCACAATCAGCATCACTGAAGGGGTTTCAGAAAGATTTAAGGTAAGCAGTGCTGTGTGAAGATGTTAATGTCTCAGCTGTGTTAGCAGAAGTGCTTAAAATCAATTGCTGATTGTAGTCAGAACTGGCTATAGTAGAGTGCCTGTTGTGGATATAGCTGGACATGAGAAAAATTAATTCAATGTTACAATAGTTCAATATTTAACAATTAGAAACAAAATCAAATCTTGCAGCTTTATTGGTTGTGATCCCTCACTGGCAGATGAATTCCAAAGGGATTTCTGTCAGTGTGTGGGCTCCAGAATGTGGCTTGCCAGGGTGTGTGTGGGCAGCACACAGGGAGTGCTCATGGCATGGATAAAGCTCCTGTTTGTGTTGAAGGACAAGAACCACCAGAACATTTACTTTCTTTTTGGCTTCTTATTTATCACTGTGGCCAAACCATTCTCTTAAAAGCACTGTCATAGTCCATTATGTATTTTTTACAGTTAAATATATGACTTGGCAACCCAGGGATATATACCAGAGCCCTATCAGTTTTCCTGGTCCCATTTAATGTTATGGTTTGGTGATGCCTGTTACTGTCACATGGCAGTTCAGAAAGAATCTGACTCAGATTGTGTCCACACCCTTACTACTCCCTTCATTAGTCCCATAGGAAACCTGAGGGCTTAACTGATGCAAGGCTTGAATATCCTTTCTCCCTTCCGACTAGAGGATAGTTTTTCTTGCTCTGTGCAATTAAAGCAGGAAAATTGGCACTTCAGCTTATGCTCCCCTATCCTTTTAACAATAGGACTGCAGGTTTTTGGTGCTTCTAATTTGTCATCTTACCCAAGGATACCAAAATATTTTTAAGCAGTAGGCATCCCCACTCTGCAATGCACAAGTACAAATACCTTTGGAAAGACTAACATTCACTATGGGGGGAAAATACAGAGTTTCAGTAAAGGTGTGGATTCTCTTTCTACTGCACAGTTCTAAACTCTGCATGATAGGAGTTTTAGGGCTCACGCAGCGATTTTGGTGCTGTTGTGCCGAGCAATGCTCTAAAAGCTGTTCAGGCTCAAGCTGACCTTCAGAAGTGTATATGCAGCTCTCAGTGGAATCAGAGCATGCTAAACAAACAAAGTGAAGGCTCAAGGAGGGATTAGACTATATTTGGAAAGGAACTTTGCAGAGTGTTGCTGCGACAAATGTTTTAAGTGCCATTCACCTGGTGGTCTTCAGTCATACAGTGAAGCAAGTAGGTTCCCAGTCAGCTGAGTGGGGAACCACCCCAGACAGGCAAGAAGAGATGTTATGGGGTGTGGTAGGGTTTTACTAAGGAGGTAAGAAACCTAATTCCAGCTTTTCCTGTTCCTTGGTTTGGGGCAAGGACATCCCATTCCTCAGGGAATGCTACATCCTGACTTAAAATCTCTCTTTATCCTCCTGGCACCATGGTACCAGTCCTTGAGAGTAATCCCCTTGCTCTTGGGTGAGGGTAGAGTAAATGCAAATTTACAGCTCAGAACAAGGAGAGCTTATGTCTGACTGTCTTTGTGCATGTCCTGGTCACACTGAGGTGATTGGAAAATGCTTACTGTGTTGTAGAGGAGAAAGGAGAGGCAGTTTTTAGTTTGAGTCCCCTGATAGGACTTTGGTTTCAAGCAGCTGAGCAGAGCCTATACCTGAAGAACTTTGCATGTATGGTTTAGCAGTAGGGCCTAAGAGATTTAATTGTTGGAACATTAAGTTGTAGCTAAGGAAAGGTTTTCACCATCTCGGTCACATTTAAAAGGCTTGTGCATCCTTTTGTAAACCTGGGGGGGTTTATCTGTCTTTGTTGGGAGAGCTGAGCAAATGAGACCTTGCTGAAAACAAATAAATAGCTTGTTGTGCTGTTGGGTAGTCTTTTGTAATTTGTGTAGCTGAACAGCTAAAAGCCTGAAGATTTTTGCTTTTCATTTTTATATACTTTTGGATGGCATACTTAAATAAAATATCCTTTGATATTACTTTATGATGATCGCTCTGGGATTAATCTCATACTACAGGGTTGCTAGGTTTTGCTGCTAGGTAACTGCTGCATCAGAGAGAGGTTTCTGTAGGATTTGCTATCTCTTGGGAATTGCAGGGTGATTCACATTGTGACTGTAAGTCTAGGTTTCCAGAGAAGAGTATGGGGATTGATCAGTTGGGAAAATTTTGGTTCAGCTAATTGAAAATAATGTTCATGCAGAACATTCAGGTCCTAAAAATGTCCCTTAATCTCTATATAGCAATTCTAGAGTTGAATTATGCTGCTTGCAACATTTTAAAGAAAACTGACTAGCTCTCCAGTGGGGATGACTGTCATATTTACCACTCCCAGTAGTAAATATTACATGAATAGTTGATAATATTTCATAAATATGTAGATGAAAAGTACTGATTGTGTGAGGTTTTCTCCTGGGTCCTTATTAATTGTGAACCATCATGTTAACTTCTGCTGTTGATTCTGAGAGAGCAAAAGGATATTTGTTTGAAAATTAAATATTTGTTGTAATTATGAAATGCATTATTTAGCTGGTGAGATATTGACTTTGGCTTGTGTTCATGAAAAAACTTTCAGATGCCATTTTAATGACTTTAGTGTGGTACATCACCAATGCACAAGCTTGCCACAAGACACAGCCCAAGCGTTGTGCTAAAAATAAAGCAAGTGAGTCAGTCATATTTACAAATAATTCACATGTGTATTCTCAGATGTACTTCTTAAATCATGACAAAGCAGATTGCATTTTTGGGATTCAGCAGTGCTGATCATCTAAAGCTGTTCTTGAGAATGAAGTCACTCTGCCACGTGCATATGTCATTTGGTGTTTTAGCACCTGGTGAACAATCAATTATAAAATGTATTTTTCTGCATTCAGTTTGCATTACCACAGTTATTATAACAGAGCTGAGAATGTTTTCAAAGTAAACTGCAAGTATAATTTTCCTCTATGAAGCCACATTGTGAATTCAAATCAAAATCTCTCAAAAGAATGTGAAGATTCCTGATTCTGAGAACCCCGTTGTCTTAATTTATTTTTATGGCACTAACTACACCAAGGAAAATGTGATTTTTTCACCTAAGATTATTTCCCATTGAGAAACAGAAGTCTTGCTTTTGTTCTTTGAACAGTGTAGGTTGATATGGGGAGTTGGTTCTTCAATGCAACTTTGAACAAGGCCAGTTTTTCTCTTTTGTAAATTTGTCCACTCTACAGAGTAACAAAGGATCCTTGTGAACCAGGACAAAGGAGGAAGTTAGGGCAGAATAAAACTGATGGTGTGAGTTACCCAAGGCCAAACCTTTGCCTCCCCAATTGACAGAGCAGTGTTTTTACAACCTTCAGTTGGATTTTGTAGTGGGATGTCTACTCTGGTACCCACTGATTGGGCTACAGCTGGCAGTTATGTACAAACACAACAATTAAAAGAATGGGTTGTAACAAAGCATGACTTTTTTTTTTCTGTCTTTGAGAAAACCTCAATAAAGAACATTTAGAGGTACTTTAAAAGCAATCACAAATTTTTGATAATAAATTTCAAGCCATTAAATTAACCCAAGCTGTGATATGCCTTCAGCCTTTGGTTTCTGTTCAAAGACAGTTTAGTTCTTCTGACTTTATCCTTGACATCTCTACATACATCTAACTGCAGAGCCAAAGCCTCAACCTTATCTCTGTGCTAAGACCATGTAAACTGTGTCCCATCAAGTAGCAAGCAGCTGATGAAATGTCTGCGTGAAGTTATGGAAGAGGAATTGAAACTTCAAGATCAGTTCTTGCAGTTTTACCTGGTCACTTCAAGACTGCCAGAAAGTATGCACCATATATGTAATTGTTCAGGGCTTTTTTCTATCTTAAAAGGGGCATCCTTCAAACATGTTTCTGCCTCAGCAATTTTGTACCTCTTCTTAGTAATGCCAGTGGTTATTATTGTTGCAAAAATAACCAGAAACAAGGAAAACTCTTTGCTGCTGTGTGATTACTTTGTGTGTTGAGTAGCTCTTTGCTCCCACTTTAAAAGTCTTTTAAGAGAAGATTTCAACTGATTCTTGTATAGGTATCACTTCCATAAGTAGATTCTGTGTCTATCACTAAGTGCTGGAAGAGTGACAGGTACTTAACTGTCATTAGTAGTTCTGTTTCTCCAGTGGAACCACTCACAGGATTAAAGTTGCTCACAAGTATAAGTGTTTGGCAGGCTTTACATATTTTCATAACTACTTAAATAAGAAAAATAAAGGAGGTGGTTCTTTCAATGTAACAATTATTTTAAAATAATTGATGCAAGTAAAGGCATTGCACGGCAACTGTCACTTTTCCTTTTTTTAATGTTTGATATTCTCTGATATGACATTGACAATCCTCCTGCTAAATTTTTGGTTGAAAGGAATTTTATAGTCAGAACTGGAAGGTTTGAGTGGATGCTTAACACAGCTCCCCTGCTGTAAGTCAGGTGTCCTCTGCCACTGTCTCCATTAAAAATCCATTTAGTGGAACAGAACCAGTCACACAGGTGACACATATGATGTTTTGGATCTCTCCAGATGCATCACTTAAATAACCTTTCCTGTTCTGTAATAACATTATGCAGCCTTTTTCCTGGCCTCCGTAGTGTCTACTGGGTTTGTATGAGAAGGTAGTAAAACTCTTATCTTGGTGCCACAGGGTTTCTTGAACTGCTTCCTCAGATCCCTTTTGTTAAGAAATACAATATATGGTGCTGTGTGATAGAAGATGACAGGAATGTTGCCATGAACAGTTGAGTTAAAGTGCAGTTCTAGGATCTCAAGGCCAGTACCTTGTTAACCTGTTTTTGTGTAACAGTGTGTCCCTCAGGTTTCATTAATCAATTCCCTTGCAGAGTGGTCCTGTTGTCTTGCCCTGTCACTGTTAATAAGCTCTGGTTCTGTAGCTTCTTTTCTCTTACTGTCCTCATGAATCTGCCTGCTTTTTTTGCATTTTTCTGCTGCTACTTCCAGTCATCTCCAGGTAAGCATCCAAGGCAGTTCTCTCTTTGTCATT